GCCCTGGGACCAGATTCCAGGAGGGCTGGGCCCAAACCACAACCGGCTGTGGTTTATACTTGCCCCCCCTCCCCGCGAGTTCCCGCACCGCGCTTTGGAGCCCACGCAGTTAAGTGTACGAACCCACATCTGTATTTGCAATGTTTTTTAAATTGATGTGAAGAGAGATGGGAAAGAAGCCCCATAACTCTCAAGACTTATAATCCTGTTTACTGTACAGCACAGGGAACTATATTCAATATCTTGTAATAGCCTGTAATGGAAAAGAATCTGAAAAAATATATATATAGTGGAATCATTTTGCTGTACACCTGAAACTAACACAATGTTGTAAATCGATATACTTCAATTTTTAATTTTTTAAACAATTATTATTAAAACCATGGAATATAAATATACCATGCTTTCTTTATAGCTTATTTCTTTATAATATAAATTAATCTTCTTTACAGTGGCAATCATTATGTACTCATGTCATTTTACAAGTTTACCTTATTACGATAAATGTTTTTTATCATGTCAGTGTAGTTATTGTTTGCTTTAAATAAAATAGTCATAACCTCGCTAGGAAAAAAAAGAGTTATAATCCTAAATAAATAGAGAAAAAGGAGAAACCGTATTTGGAGACTATTGGTTGTGGTGGAGCAGTCACTTTACCCCTTCTTTTTCTTTATCCAGGGAACCGAAGACGTGTCTGCAAATGTCCCAGGTGAGTCTCTTGTAACCCCTGGGCCTGCTGGCCCCAGGCAGCGCTGGGCACATGTCCTTGCTTCCCAGGCAGCAGATGGTGGGAACTCCTTTCCCAGAGGGAGGCCATGGCAGAGTCAGCTTACTGCCTGAACAGAGAGATGGAGAAGGCTGACATGGGGGAGAAAATGGAGGCCCCGGTTGGGCTGACATGGAGAGCAGTGTGACTTCAGAAAACTCTCCCATTTGACCCAGCATTAAAAAACCCATCTGAAGAATTCCCCCAGTTAATCCTAGCTCCTCAAAAGACCTGAGGTCTCTTTAACTGTATGATTCCAGCTGGGTTTTCTTAAGAAAACTTTTTTTTTCCTACTTGCTTGGTCTAGTTTTTTTGAGAGAGTTTTATAACCCCAACTAAATACGTAATGGCCTCTGTCCCTAACTACCCTGTGGCAGCACAGCACCTTGGTCTGCCGCCACGGCCTGGAGTGGAAGAAAGGGGGGACCAAGAGGAGGGGCAGTTAGCACCCAGCAGTTCAAGTGACTCCCCCATCCAGCTCCATTCATTCTGACATGATCAGGAAAAAGGCAAAAACAAAAGGCAGTGTCTGGAAGCGAGGCCTCAGTCTCTCCCCTCAGAGCTTAGGCCGCAGCAGCCCAGCACTAACGTCTAGCAAAGCGCCCACTCTCGCCCACCCAGCCCTGTGATGGGCGGTGCACGCAGGATCTGGCTTATCGTCACAGCCACCCCACGGGGGAAATGCCACAGGGCCGTCTCACGGATCACTGGTTCAGAGATCACGAAACCTACCCAAGGTCACAGAGACATGATTACAGTCTGATTGTCAATAGTAATAACAACCATTCGATGAAATTCTAAAGGGTACCTGTTACTTGCTTTATGTATGTGTATATATATATATGTATATATACACTTTTTTTTTAAGTTTCAAGTTTCATAACAACCTTTAAAGTAGTTACTGTGACCACCATTTTACAGATGAGGAAACCGAGGCTTAGGACATTTAATGACTTGTCCAAGGCCATATGGCCAGCAAGGAGTAAAGCTACAACTTCCACCCAAAGCCCAGACTCCTTCCCGTGGCTGGGGGCTGGGGCAGGAACAGGTTAAGGATAACCTACCATATTCATCAGTTCCTTTCAGCAGATGAAAATACTTCAAGTTTTATACCTGGGGTTTGCATTTCACGGTGGTACATTGGTATTTCTCTTGCTATTTCTTGATGTCAATATCATTTCTTGATACTTGATATTTCTCTGTGGGAACACAAGTTTGGTGCCTAATACATCTTTATTTTTAACACTGGAAATGTAATGAATTTCCAGTGCCTATACTAGAGGTGATCTACCAAGGGGATAAAGACTCTTTAAAAGCAGAGAGGGATTTTTAGCAATTTCAGTATTTGGGGTACAGTTGGGAGCTTTTGGAGGAGAATTGTCCCTTATCTCCATCTTTTTGAAAAATTCTCATTTTGAAAGGAATAAGTGAGAATAAGACTCTGCCCTGAAATACAAAGCCATGTAGATCAAACATATGAGGACTTCACACACCCAAGTTAATATAAGTCAGTGATGACCAAAGGCAGCTCAGCTTCGACGAGAGGTTTTGGAGGACAGTGTGTGTAGACATGACACACAGGATGAATCAGCCCGTTTAGAAGGTGCTAGCCCAGGAGTGAGTTAACACATTTTTAGTGTGACATCAAATTTGGGTTGTCAAGGGACTTTGAGGTAAAGCAACTCTGCTTGTCTGACTGTGGGGGTTTGTTCACATCCTCCCCTCTCTCTGCGATCCTCCCGGGGGCCGAGGACCAGGTCAGGTGATGATTGGTTATCAGTCTGCTTCTCTCACCTCCTTTCACCTTGACAAAGTTTCCAGGAAGCTGGGTTAACTGGGCTCAGTCCTGGCTCCACCATCTCCTAGTTGCGTGACCTTGGGCACGTCCTCTAACCTCTCCTCCCTAGTGGCTACCCCTCAGTTTGCCGTGAGGATTAAACAAGATGGCACAAGGAAAGCACTTGGCCAGGTGGCTGAGGTCATTCACCCAGTCCCACGCTGCTGCCCCAGGGACAAGTCCTCAGAGCCCAGAAGGCTGGGAGGCGGGTGGAGGGTGGGTAGACATGGGCGGATGCTGCATTGCGTTCCAGGGACTCTGGCCACGATGGCCGTCACCTGCCTCTCTTTCAGGCCGGTGGCCAGACAGGGAGGCAAGCCCAGCCCTTCAGAGAGATACGTCTAACAGGGCGATGGGCCCCGTGCGACAGCCACTACAGGACATCAGACAGAGAACTCGCCCAATGAAGACAGCGAGAGTCCTTCCTTTTTGTTTTTTTCCAGCGTCCTTATGTATTCACTCCTATTCTTGTTATTTTCATGGGGGATGGGGTGGGAACGGTTACTTTTTCTTTATGAGTTTGCTTTAATTGACGCAAAACGAGACTGTGTAACATCGACGGTTCACCGCAAGGGTTCCAATACCCCTGTGCTCACGTACTGGGGGAGGGCGGGAGCCAGAGCTACCGCAAGCCGCCTTCTCAGCACCAGGCTGTTAGAGCTGGCCGGGCCTCGGCACCCACTCAGCTCAATTTTACCCCATTTTACAAAGCCCAGAGGTGGGGAGCAGCTGGATCAGAGGCCCAGCAGAGGCTCAGGGCTTGTCCTCCACAAAATATATTCTTTTCTTCTGGAGGCCTCTGTCTCCACGCGTGGAAGCCTGTGTCTTAAACCTCAAAGGAACAAGTTATTTCTTGAGCACCTGTGATAGACCCATCACTGCGCCCCGAGCCCTGACGAGGTAATGAAATAAAATAAGAAAACTTTACCGAGTTGTATGATGTAGTTAAACAGGACCAGACGTTTGTTTTTAATAACCAAGTGTGAAATTATACAGATGATAGGAGTTCCTCAAATAAAGTGGAAGGGGTGACCTGAATCCTGGAAAACGAACAACTTGACCTCTAAAGGAAAGCTCTGTGAGATCCCCAGGTAGAGAGAGGCAAAACGGCCCTCCCAGCCCGTGTGTTGCAGACAGACCCGTGAAAGAGGAGAGGCCGCCCTTTGCAAACGTGATCTGAGCATCGGGAAAGCTGAAGGGAGGTCGGCCCTCTCTGAATTTGAGATTCCGTATTGGTACGTGCTCCTGGGATCCTCGATGACTTTTTGCTGGTTGTGAAGGTGGAACTGTGAGAGAGCA